GCTTTGGTAATAAGGAAATCATCTACCAAAGACAAGAAAATAGATACTATTCTAAAATTCATCAAATTACCATAAAAATCTGTAATCAATAAAATCAAAATCAAAAACATCATAAATAAAAAGTATGCTTAGATGCGTTTTTTTTTTTTTAAAAAAAAAAAAAAAAAAGATACAAAAAACATTTATACTTTTAAAGACACAAACTAGATATAATAATAATTCAAAAAAACAAACTTACAAGACACTTCTTTCAGAAATTTTTTAGCAAAGCAAAATGGGGCTTTGACTCCTTTTGGTTCTCAAAAACTGCTATTTTGGCAGGCAAAAAAAATATAAAAATAACAAACATAAAAGAATCACACAATGGTCAAGTAATAAGTGCAAACATAGAAATTAAACAACAAATTTTCTTAGTTACAAACATATATATACCTTCTAGTTTAGAAAAAAGAATCTCTTTTTTTAAACACTGGTTTCTATCTACTAACAACAAAGGTATTAGCATTATAGTAAGAGACTTTAACACAAATCTAAACTCAGAAATCAATAGAATAAGCCAAGCAATAGCACAGAACAATCAGTTCAAAAAACTAGTAAAAGACCTTATAAAAGATTACACAGAGAGCCTTATAGAAAAAAAAACTCACTCTCTCTCTCCACTCACATTTAGTAGTGAAGAAAAAAAATAAAACAAAAACAATTAAACCTTTATTAAAATCTATTAGAAACTATACCACAAGAGCTAAATCTTTTGTGCTGAAGAAAAGAAAGTATCCATGCATTAACATGCTACACTCTTCCTTACTAAGTCATCTGAAATGCTGAACTTCTAACACTTATGAAGAAGAAACTAGTTTAAGCTCAGGCCTTTCTAAGAGCTTATCAGAACAAACTAAAGCTCAAGTTTTAAATAGCCAAGAACCAAAAGCTTTATCAACACAAAAAGCACAAGAAGCACATATAGTAACAGACTTAAAAGTCAGCAAAGCATTAAACAAAAAAAATACTGATTCTGTAAAAAATGATGATGCTTTGTTTACATCTGCTGACAACACATACACAGAAGTAACAAAACAAACCAAACACATGTCTCATAATAGCAACTCAGTTACATCTCAATTAGAAATTACAACCAACCAATCAAAACCAAGGCAATGGTCTGATCTTTTTTCTAAGTTGAAAAGAGGAAAAGCCATCTACTCTACATTCTCTCCTAGAAAAAGAATCTATACTAAAAATGAAAATGCTTTAATTTTTGAAACACAAAATTTAGAAAATATATCTACAGCAGACATAGTTGAAGCAATGGCAAAAAAATTAGGCTACAGTCTTATAGCAATAAGACCAGTAGTTACCAAAGGCAGAAAAACTCATTTAGAAGTTATCTTTTTTGATAAGGACCAGCAACAGTACTATGCAGCAAAAGGAATCTCAATCTTTAAACAGTCCCTTTAGGGTTATATTCCTGTTAATATTAGATGAAGCTTTCTTTTAGTAAGAATCAGAAATACACCAATGGGTAAAAAAGATCTTATCTCTAAAAAAATCAAAAAAGCTTTTCAAGACGTAGGCACAATCTCCTCTATCAAACCTTTGGTACACAAAGGCACTTCAGTTCTTTCAGATCAATGGGTAGTTATTTTTGAAACTACAGATGATCACAAAGTAGTTATGGACTGGAGAGAGACTTCAAAGCTATGCTACTTTTGTGACAAAGTGGGTCACATCAAAAAAAAATGTACTGAATACATAGCTTCAGTAGAACTTAGAGCTATGCAAAAAGCATGCAGATTACAAAGATCCCAAAACAAAATCACCAAGCACCAAACCTTCGAGTTAGAAGACTTTAGTGCAGATAACCCCTACATTAAAAATAATAATAACATAGATGCTAACAAAGTTAATGAGCAAATCTCAGCAGATATGAATCTGGATAGTTATATCAATATAGATCAGTCTTAGATTAAAACTGAGACAGCTAAAAAAGAACCAACTGAAGATACTCCAAAGGAACTAACCAATTCCTTAATAGAAAATCATTTCATAGATACCAACATAATAGAGATACCAACATAATAGTAGATCTGCTGACTACTCTCTATAATGACTCCAAGGTTGCTGAATCCTCTTTCATCAGCAATGATGACAATGAATTCCAATTGGTGATATCAAAGAAAAAACACAAGGGTAAAGCAAAAGTATCGAATGCAGAAAGAAACAAAGTTATGAGTCTGGATCCTACCAATCTTCAATTTTTTAATATTAATAGTTAAACAAATTACAATTGCAACACTTAATATTAAAGGTTTGAACAATTCAGACAAAGCACAAAAAACACTGACCTTACTTAAATTATACCAATTAGATATAATTATGTTACAAGAAACAAATTTAGAAAACAATAACACAAGGAATTTCTCTCACAACAATGGGGATATAGCTCTTACTGGTCCTCCAAGACAGCAATATTAGCAGGAAACAGAAACATTTCATTTGAAAACATTATAGAATCTCAGAATGGCTGTGTTATCACAGCAACTTTCCTATACAAAAACCAACCATTTCTTTTAAACAATGTTTATGCACCACCAAATATAGAAGATAGGCTCAAATTCTTCAATAGCTGGGTTTCTCTAAGGGATGACAGATGCATTAATATTTTGGTCAGAGACTTTAACATGAATCTGAATTCACAAAAAGATTGAATCAGTCATGCACCTATTACTTATGACCCTACAAGAAATCTTCTCAAAGAACTTACAATGGAGTTTACAAATACTGCATCACTGTCTGAAAATGATTATTTATTTTTAACCTATTATCAGAACACTCGTGCAAGTCACAGAATGGCTACAAGGCTTGATTACATCTTTATAGATAGTGATCATAGTAGCTATTGTAAAAATGTAACAATGCAATTTGGCAATTCCGATCATTTAATAGTAAAATGTGAAATACACCTCTTACTGGAAAACCCTAAAGCAAAACAATAGAGATTTTGCAAAAATAGCTGGAATAATGACCTGCTAAAAAAAGAAGTAATTGAAGAACTCCAAAGCATTACTGATTTTTCAAAATGGGACCTTTGCAAATGCAGAATACAATCTATAATTAGAGCATTCAGGCCTAATCCTGCTCCAGAAAAGAAGATTCAAAGGCTTCAAAAACAACTCTCAAAACTAAATAAGAAAGCTAATAATGAAGAGAATCGAATAGCAGCTCTATCACAGATAGAAAATGTTAACCAACAGCTTCAAGATGAGCTTCAGCTACTCTCAGAAAAATGGCAAACAAGATCAAATACCAAATAGATTGAAGACAGAAAGAAGTCAACCAAGTTCTTTTTCTCTCAATACAAGTTAAGAAACTCAATTTCACAAAAGACAAAATTCAAGCTCCTAATAATAACAACTCCAAAGACTCAGCCACTACTCTACAATTTATAAAGGAAACATATCAGAATATTTACAAAATGAAGGCAGTCGACAAGACTTAATGAACTATTTTTCCCAAAATCTTCAAAAAGTAACTAAATCACAAAACCATTCACTCATAAAACTTATTTCTGAGGAAGAAGTTAGAAATGTTATTAGCTCTCTTTCAAATAACAAAGCTCCAGGTTTAGATGGACTTAGTTATGAGTTCTACAAAGGAATTATAAATGAAATAGTACCAGTTTTGTTCAAGCTCTTCAACTTCTGTTTAGAGTCTGATACAATCCCAAGATCATGGTCCAAAAGTTTTATTATTCTAATTTGCAAAAAAGCTACTGACTTAAAAGATATTAACAACTGGAGACCAATCTTGCTCACAAACTGTGATGTTAAAATCTTTATGAAAATCTTAGCTAATAGGAGTAATCCTATTTGCGAAACTTTAATCAGACATTCACAACAAGCCTTCATTAAAGGAAGATCAATCACTGATACAGCACTAGACATTATTACAGTTCTAAGAAATCAAAATAATCAAACAATATCAAATTGGCTTCTACTGCTTGATCAGCAAAAAGCTTTTGATAAAATTGATTATAATTCTATTGCATATATATTAGAAGAAATGAACTTCAACAAAAAATTTGCAAGGATTGTTAAACTTCTTTTCAATTCACAAACTGCATACTTAACAGATGCAAACCTTATTTCAGAACCTATAAGGATAGAAAGAGGAGTATAACAAGGGGACCCACTTTCTCCTTTGCTATACATTTTGGCCCTCAACCCACTCATTCTCAAGATTTAAGAAGAAATCAATGGAATACATTTAGCCAATTAGACATTTAAAGCTGTAGCCTATGCAGATGATCTTACAATTGGAATAAGCTTAGCAAACAACTGGAAAAAACTTCTGCTTCTATTTCACAAATATGAAGCAGTCTCAAATGCTAAAATTAACAAAGAAAAGTCAATTCTAATTCCAATCACAAGCATGGCCAAAACAACAAATCTTACAAACCAAGAGCAGTACAAAATAGCCAATGACAATACCATACTAAAAATCTTGGGCTACAAAGTTGATATTAAAGGTAACCCAAAGAAAAAGCTATAGGAGGACCTAACTCAAAACTTCAAGGAAAGAATTGAAGGTGTTGCATTAAGAAACCTCTCCTTTAAGGGAAAGATTCTCCTGTCAAAAGCCCTTTTTATCTCCAAGATCTGGTACACAGCATACTTACTTCCACCAAGCAGAAAACAACTAGGCAAATTAACAATCTAATCTCAAACTGGATTAAAAACAAATCCTGAATACTGCCAAAATATTTAACTTTTCAACTGAAAATTGACAAAGGAGGTCTTGCAGCCCCAGTCCTTAAGGACATTTTTGTTTCAAGGCTGACTTCAATATAGATTAAACTCTTATGTTCAGACAGCTTTTGGGCCAGAGTCAAAAGATCTCAAATTGCTCAACAACTGCATGATAAAAGAAATATAACAATTTGGCAACCTTACCTTACAGCATGGAAAAGATTAAAAGGCTCAATACTAAATACAAACAACTGGCCTTGGAATTCATCAAATCTTACAATTGGAGGCTGACCAGGTTCCCAATTCTCAGTTAAAAATGCAACTGATTTCTTAAAAACTCAATCAATTCTATCTACAGCAGTGCAAACTTCAATTGACACTAGCTACCCTTTTACCTGGATTAACATAATAGGAATTCTAAACAAGAAAAAAGATATTTTTTGAAGGTTACAGAACAATGCACTTTCTTTGGGATACAGGCTTATGCATGTAAACAAAAACATTAATGGAAACTGTCCCAACTGCCCAGATCAAAAACAAATATTAGATTACTTTGCTTTAAAGTATAACATTAGCAAAGCTATCTGGAAAAAGGGATACAAGCAGTGTTTAAAATTAGATTTTAAAATTATATGTGATATACATTTATTATTTAAATAAAAGTTGCAGAATTAGTATACTAGTTGCAAATTACATTTTTAATTAATAATATATTTGCGAAAAAAATTTAATTATGTGGAAAAAATTTTTTACTTATAAAAATTTTATTTAATACAAATTTATTTCATATAATTTTACTTTATAAAATATAAACAAAAAAAAGAGAAAAAATTTAACTACTATTTTTTTCTAGGACTACGTTTCCATAATTCATATGCTTTCTCAAATTAAATTTATCTAAAGAAGGCCCATTCATAACTATCATTAAATGAGAATTAAGTGTATTTAATTTCATCTGATTATGAAGTTTTGTTTTAATTAAATTTTGTTGAGAAAATATACATTCAACATTTCCATTTGAAACAGGAACTATAAATGCTAAATGAATAATTTGAGTTAAATTAGGATATTGAGTAATAAATTGAGTAGTACAAAAAATAAACTCCCATCCTTCAACAAATTGAAAAGTTGTAAAATTACATAAAATTAATTTAGCCATTCACCATTCTTTAATAAGCTCAAATTTATTAATAAGAGCTGAAAATACTTGACCATTTTCAATTTGATCTATACCATAATATTCTGCAAGATACACAATTTCTTCTTCTTCAAAACTACTCATTTGTTGTATTGTTGTTGGAACTTGTTTAAAATCAAAAATACGCATAGCATTATATAATACTGTATTAGAAAATCAGTATTTCAAATTAATAATTATTGCATTAGCAAATTCTTTAACAAAATTAGGAATTACATTAACTGAATATTGTATACAATAATCATGTAAATGTGTTCCTAATGTTGGTTCAATATTTTCATCAGGATATCCAATAAATTCAATAGTAATAAAATGAATTGTTTTGTTTAACTCTTGATGAATATCTGAAAAAGCTACATAATCAGATTGAAATATTTTACATAATGCTGAAATTATTGATAAAATATCTGCAAGAAATTTTGTTGCTAAAATAAAATCAGCATCAAGTTCTCCTAATAAATTTTGAGCACGCTGTTGTGATTTAGCTGTAAAATTATTTATTACATTATTTTGAAGTGCATCTATTACAGAAAAGATTATCTGGTGCAAATTTGATACAGAATTAGATAAAGAAAGCCATCGAGTTGAAACAACTTGCAAAATTACTAATTCTGGAGATTCTTCATTTTGTGCTTGAAATATTTGAAGATTTTGCCATCAACTATGAGAATTAGCAAAATATGCATAAAGTTCTTTAATTGTAATTTCATAATCAAGAAAATAAGGTACATCTTTTGCTGAATCTTTTTCTGCTAAAGCTAATCGATGAGCAATACAATGACAATTACTCATAAAAGGATTTAACTTTTTAAGTTTTGTAGCAACACCATTTCGAACTTCTTAAATAAAATTATAATAATTAATAATTTGCTAATAAATAAAGTTAAAAGATATAATACAAACCTATCATTTTACTATCACCATCACTTCCAAAATGTAATAATTTTGAAGGATCTAACATTTTTGCTAAAAAAAAATTAGTTAAATTATTCATAATACCTATTGTATCCACTTTTTTTAATTCAATTAATCCTAAATACTGAAGTACAGAAATATTTTTGCTACATGTTTGCTTACAATTGCACAAGTTTTATTATGTGTAATTGTAATACTTTCATCAATTACAAACTCCAGGCTGATGATTTTCTTGTTTCTTCTAAAACTGATTCCTCAATTACTGTTGCAATTGCATGTAAAAATGTAGTTTCAGAAACCGAATTAGTATATTCTGCATAATTTGAAGAGTTTTCAGAAAAATCCGTAACTAATTTTTTTTTTTTTGGACCAAAAAATGGAGGAGTTAAAGTTTGAACTTCACTATCATATACTAATTCAGTTTGATTTTTTAGATTTAAATTCATCAAATTAATAATATCTGAGTAAGCAAAAATTGGAAAATGTTTTTGTGCACATAAATATACACATCGCATCTTTGAAATAATTTCTAATTTATTATAATCAGCTTGTGTAGTAAATCCAGTAAACAAATCTATTTGATTTGCTGGTTGATAATAAGCTTTCATCACATTTATATGACCATTTATTTTAATATGTTGATTAAGATAATCTTTTTGAAAAGTACCACAACCTTTAACAAAAATATTGTCAGCAGTTGGATATTTTTTATACCAAATACAAAATAAAAGAGGCTTTCCATCAATAATATGTCAGTCTAACCATAGAAACTATCTTGGCCATTTGGGGTTCCAATTGGTTCTTTCATGTTTTTTGTCATCTGAGGCTTTCCATCAATAATATGTTGGTCTAACCATAGAAACTATCTTGGCCATTTGGGGTTCCAATCAGTTCTTTCATGTTTTTTGTCATCTGATTTTTTTTTTTGAATTTTCTTTAGCCAGTCTTGGAGAAAGTCTACTATCTTCATTTATATTATCGTTACGTTTTTGGTTTAATAAAAAAGCTTCTTCACCATGAATTACAAACTTATCAATAATTATTTATAAAATAATTTAATATCACAAGCTATTAAATTCGACTTTGAAGATATTTTAATTCTATAGATAAGTTATTTACTTTTCAAATGTTAGTGGTTCTAATTATTTATAATAAAACTATTCTTTATTCAAAATAAATATTACATCATAAATTACTTACTCTTATAAGTTTAATTATTTATCAATTTCATTAATTAATTATTTAATATGATTAATCAAAATTACTTCAAAAAGATAATAATCGGTTTTCTTATCTTAAAGAATTTTAATAATCTTGTTTATCCTTTAGCTCCAAATCTATTATTGTTCTTATTTTGCTGATTGTTTTATAATAAAATAAATGCTATTGCTATATATTTAACTTTATATTTTGATAATGATAATAATTATTTAAGATTATAGCATCTTGATCTTTAATAATAAGTAAATACCTAATATATTTAATATAATTCTCTAGCCAATACTTCTGATATTACTAATACTTCTAGCATTACTAATATCTTAATCATCACTAATTCTTCTAACATTACCAATTTTTCTAGCATTAATTTTTTAGTATACTAATTCCTTTAGTATGCATATATCAGCAAATTTTTGATAACGAATAAATGCCTTATATTTATACTTAAATAACTATTTCAGGTTCAACAAAAAATGAATTCATTTTTTGTTCAAGAAAAACTTTGCCACTAAAATCTGTACAACATAAATAAGACTTTTACTACCTTGTACAAATTATGACCACATATTTATTAATAAACTCACATAAACTTATTATTATTGCTCAATTAGATGACTTTATTAAGGATAAATGGAAAAACATATGAGAAAACCTGTTCAATATCCTAATCAGGCTCTATACAACACATAGGTAATATACTATCTAGAGATAACAATATTTTAACCAAAATGATCCAGCTGCATCCTCATATAATAGGAAGGTCATCAAGAAGAAAACAATATAAGTAAAGGAGAATCAGTTATAAAGCTCTAAAAGGGCGACATGAGATTGGTTATCCAAAACAGGAGGTTCTTGCGAAGCCTGAATCATAAGTAATAATAGGTCTTTGCACTGCTCTTGTAGCCACAGAGCCTAAATTTTACTATAATGTCTTTGCACTGCTTTGGCAACTGTAGAGCCTTTTGTCAACCTAAACTGTCAGCCATTACCACATGGGAGGGAAGGAAGGGACGATAGAGCCATCCTATACTAAAGGCAAGCTATAGCAAAAAGAAAGGTACCCTCCTCTAACAACAAAAAAATACTTTAAATAAATCCCACGATTACTACAAAAACCTGCTCTACCCTCCTGACTTCATATGATTATATACGATACTTCTATTATTTTCAGTTTAATTTACTTCTTACTCCTTAATTTATTACTAATTTGCTAACACCTTAGCAACATGAGAATAATCATATGCAAAGTAATCATAACCAGAAAATACCTGCACCTGACAAGATAACCCAGGAATAATTTCAAAACAGCCATAAAAGGATAAAACAATTAATTTGAACATGTGACTCATAAAGTCATCTGATTTCACAATAATGGTCCTTCGTTGACACAAATTACAATAAATCATCTAATAATCAAAGTGACTATAAATTGCATATTTATATGATTCAAAGCAATTTATTCAGTAACTTGACTAATTCTATGCAACAAAATTATATCCACTAAGAATTTCATCAGTATCTTTAACTTTTATAATTATAATAGTATTTGCCTACTTATCGCATGAATTCCAATTTAAACTCAGATTATTTGTTATTAAATACATATTAGCTTTCTTATGTACCAGAGTTGTCAAGTTAGTATATCTAGTAATTAGAAGTTACTAAGTTACTAAACCAGGTCATATTTGACTTATAAAATTATTATGTCTATTATTTGTTTGTATGAACAAATCGATCCATCTTTAATCTAAAAAATAATGTTCACAAGGAATAGTTTTATATAAATATTAAGAATGTCTTTTTAAATTATTCAAATTTAACATGTTCAAACTTACTAAAACAAATTTATAGCAATCAATTCTAATCTTCAATATCTGTAGATTCATTTTATATTAAATCTGCGGAATAAAAAAGATTGTATAATATGCAGAAAATCTGCGAAACCTTTTTTTTATATTTGTGGAATCTGCATGTACTTAAAAAAAAATACTTGCAGAATAAATTTTTAATATGCGCACCACATATTCTGCATACCAATTTTAAACACTGGATACAAGGCACTTAAATCCCCAGCAGAAAAGGTTCTTTCTACAACTATTGAAGAGATTTTTATAGCATCAAATATTCAACTTTCTAAAAAGCAAGAGGCTGCATTATGGCTACATATAAATATTATTTATGAAATATGGTGTTGGTATACCCAATCTATGTGGGGAAACAATACTACTTCAGAACTGGCAATAGGAAAAATTGTTGAATACTGAATAAAAAAAAGTCTAATAATTTTAGATAAATTACAAAAAAGCAAAAAAGTACTTAAACTATTTAAATTCATAGATAGTAAATGTTTTACTTGTATATAATGTAAAATTCTATAATATTTAATTTTAATAAAAAGAACACCAATTCATGTATAAAAAAAAAAAAAAAAAGATCAATTTTGGAAGGGTTAACAGTATCTTATTTTTGTTCACGTTAATTAGCAGATAGATATAAAAGAACATCAATTAATTGAAATATTTGACATAAGCTATATAAGTTCATCACAGTATTTCTAACTTTTTTTATTACTTTAATTCATGGATGGTTATTGCTTTTAATTCTACTTTATTCACCTTAATCCTAGCATATAGTAAGTTATTCATATTTGTATTTTTATGATGTATATTTAAGTTCATTAAATTAAGTGAATAAATAAAAATAGGTTTAATTCTGTAATTAATAAAGTTAGAAAATCAGTATAATCTAATAAAATTTACAGAGATTTTACCATTTGAATCTTTTTAATTTTATTTTAATTGGTTTGATTTAATTAGAATAAAAATCATTGAATAATAGATTTAATAATAATAAGCTATTCAAGTTTGTATTGACTAGTCATATGATTGGAAGAATGCTAGCAAGCCAAAGGTGCCAGAAATAAATTCAATTAAAGGACTTAGCAGAGTAATTGGACTAAAACAATAATATGCTTCTGGGAAAATTAGCATGAGATTGTGTGGGTATCATCATAACAATAGAATGAGTGAGAATAGCATTAGTTGGTTGTTTTCCACTTGCTCAAAGCAGGTTGGCTGTTAAAAGAAAAATGACAGAATCAGGAACTGTGTCCCAAATAAGTAGGCATTATTTCATATATTTCATACTAAACTAAACTATTATAGTTAGAGTTCAGAGCATGGGAAAAAAATTGGGCATGCTCTTTTTAAATCATATGATTAACATATAGTTTAAAAATCTTACATGTTGATTGAGTATCTACAGTTCTAGTTTATTTGAACTTATTAGCCAATTAAAATAACTTTAAACATCACATGACAAGGGCATGCCCCATGCCTCTGTGCCCTGAACTCTAATTATAGTATTCATTTACTTACAAGGCTTTAAAATTTTAGCTTACAAATATAAAAAAAAAACACTGTTCAAAAATTAAGAAAATTTATTTTTATCTCAGAAATATCATACTACATATTTGTTAACTAAATACTTAAGACAAAAAAAAACACTAGAACAGAATGAAAATATTATCAATTTAATTCAACACAAATCACTTATTTTATCATTCTAATTTGATACAATATTTACGATTACCTATACAGAAAGCACACATCTTTGCGATGTATAATAAGATAAGTATATAAATCCTGCAATACAAGTATGTCCATCTATTTCTTTGTCGATTTTTTTTTTCATTCTACCAGAAGCTCACCCTGAGAAAATTTTGGTTTTTTTTTCTTTTTTTAATTATTTAACTGCTCTAGAGAATCAATATCATTATTATCTTGATTTTTGTTATTAGTATTTGATAATTGTTCAAGAATAATATATGTTTGTTAATTTTGATCATAACATTTTTGACCCCATTTGGAATTTTCCAAAATTTGTGTCAAAGTTGAATATGCAGACTTACCATGAAATCTACATTTATATACCTGTGGATTATTTGAAAAATGGTGAATATAACCTCTAAAAACAGCAATAAATTGACTTTCAGTACACAGGACTGAAAGTACCTTTCTTCTCATTTTAGTAAAATTTAATGGCAATTGGTAATATATTTGCTGAATTAAAATATTCTTAAACTTATGCAATGTTTTAACTAGAATTTCGTCAATATCACTGCGTGGCATGTTATACTTTTTAATTGTGTTACAATATTGTTTATAGCCATTTTCTGATTTAAACTTCTGAAAACAAATTGGGCAAGAGATCAAAGAAATAAATATTAAATTTTGTGAAGAAGTAGATGATAGTAAACTTATGATTAAAAGACAACTTTTCTTTTTATTAATGGTTAGCGAAAGTATTTCTTTTATAAAGAGAAAGCTATGCAAATCGCCCTTTTAAAGATAACAATATACATGATATCAAACAATATCAGAGTCCTCAGATTTTTTTAGCAGCTAAAATAGCACTAGCGATATTATGACAACCACATATCCAAATTCAACCAAGGTGGTTTATCTTAATTCTACATGTCTATAGAATACAAAATAAAAAAAATTTTACTGAGTTTAATTTGATTGTTTTTATAATATTGCTTGTGCTATTTTAGATGCTAGAAAAATCCAAGGACTCTGAACGATATGTCCTAGTAGGAATTATACATCAAATTATATATCCTAATAGAGCTTAGACATGTCCTAATAGGACTTAGACATGTCCTAATAAGAATTAGATGTCAAATGAAATGTCTGAGTAGAGCTCTAACTACTAGGAATGAGATGGGTTTTTGGCTAGGACAGATGGGTTTGATGTATGATTTGCATAGTCATTATATTCTTAAAATTATTTAAGATATAGTTTAAAATTATTAGGGCATAATTGAGTAATTGTTTTGTGTATTTGACCAATTAAATATGATAAAATATAGGGTTCAAATTAAAATTTGGTGTTTCTAACTAAGACCCAATTCTGCTGATTCGCCTATATGTAAATATAATTTGACATATGCTTATAGCATATGTTACTTTATTATTTGATGCCAAGTCTGATGACCAAATCTTAGATAAAATTATTTGCATATAGGTTTTTAAATTACAATCAAGTATATTAATTTTATTAAAAAGTTTTTTATAATATTATCTAGTTTATAATAAAGATTTCTAAATTACAACTTCTTAAAATAAAGTGTTAATATTAATTAAATCTAACTGATTTTCATTATATACTGCAAATATTATGTTCTTTAGATTACTTTATACTGATCTGTATTGTTTCAAAAGCTAAATTTATTATATCAAAATAAAATTATTTTTAGTATTAAATAATTCTAAATTTTTTAAATATTTAAATATTTTTAAATATATAAGAATTTTTTAATAATTTTTAAATATATTAAAATATATTTAATTAAATATTTATATTTCAAACTTTTCTAATTTTAAATATATTCATATTCTTTTAAAAAATATTAAATATTATAAAAAGATATTTATTGGCCTTGCAATATTTTTATTATATGTTTTTCAAACTTTTTTTAACATTAATCTGTAATATTTTGAATAATTTTTAAATATTCAAGAATTTGTTGCCTTTTTTAAAATTATTTTTGAAAGCATGGATTGAATATTTTGTTACTTTTTTTTGCAATAGCTTTAACTAATTACTGATAATTAAAGTTAAAACATATAATAATTAATTTAAAGAAATTGCAAATATTTATTTAAAATATAAAAATTATATTAATATTTTTATATAAAATCATTTTTAGTTAATAAATTATATAACTTAAAAATTTTATTATCTAACTTTATTAAATTTTTTCTATATGATTTACTTTTTCAGATAACTATAAAAGTTTTTCTATTATTTTTGTAAAAAGATTTTTTGAATTGTATAAAAAAAATTAAATTAAAAAATATTGAAAAATTAAATATAAATTTAAATATATCTAAAGATTTTTATAGTATTTTGAATACCTTTAGGAAGATACAAAATTCTTTTAAGACTTTTAAAAAATCTTTTTGCAAAACTAGCTGCTTTATAATTTCAGTAGTTTTAGTTTTTCTTCTAACAAATGTCAAAACTTTACTTTTTTCAGAAGATACTTCTTTTTTTATTTTAGTAGATTGCAATGTTAAACTAGCAATCAATCTTGCAAAAACTTGTTTAAATTTTAATTGTTTTCTAGTGATTTTAGGCATTTTTAAAAATATGTGAAATAAGATAGAATATGTTAAAGTGTAATAAAATTATAAAAATATGAAATTAAAAAAAATTATACAAAGAAATAAAAAGGATAGTGATCTTAGTGTAGTGGTTAGGTTGTCATTCTTCAAGCAGTAGATTCAATGTTCAAATTCCATCAGTAGCAGAATTTTGAAAAATAGTTCTATTCTGACAAACTTATTCATAATCTGAAATTTGTAGATCCTGTAATTCTAGTTATATCAAGACTAACTTTGGAAGTGTACAATATTACATAAATAAATCTAGAAAGTATATAACCAGATTAAAAGTCTGTTTGAAAATCTTGAGTGGAGAGGTAGTACAACTTTTGATGGTATCACCTGTGAAGATCTTAATCTAAAGAAGAAAACCTGAAGCAGATAACTTGTATAGACAAGAACTTCTAGATAAAGGGTTCACTAATCTGGTCACTGATTAATCTGAACATGAAGTTGCATAATGTAGGGCTAACTAAATTGGTAATATAGAAGAACTTGCAAAGGTAAACAAGGTAAAGTTGTAAAAGAAGAATACTGAGGTTGTATAAACTTCACAAGAGTTGTAAACTAAATTTAGTTGTAAATTAAGATACAGAAAACTCTAGTAATAATGTCTTGAGAATATACTGCATGAAATAAGATATAGGGTCCTAAGAGTATGGGTATGCATCTAGAACTTCTTGACTAACATCATGTAATAGAAATGTTTTAGTAATACAGTAAGGATTGCAGTACAAAGAGTTTAAATAGGCAATACTTATAATTAAATTGCAGGTATAGCAGCTAATATAGAACTTACATATAGGTAAACTACTTAAATTATATACCAAAAGTGTATATATAACTATATGTACTTTCTAATGTAAAGTAGCTTCTTTGAGATAATTGAACTATAAGCTACTGTATTTTACTATACTGAATAAAAAAGCCCTAGTTTCAAAAAGACTAGTTTAACTATAAAAAAAATAAATAAATAAAAAGAAATAAAAAATATATAAAAAAAAAATAAAAAATATGAAATTAAAAAAAATTATAAAAAGAAATAAAAAATGTAAAAAAAAATAAAATATAAAAAGAAAAAATATAAAAAAAATAAAAAAAGTAAAAATTAAAAAGAAAAAATAAAAAAAAAAATAATAAAAATATAAGATAAAGAAAAAATAAAAGTATTAAAAATAAAAGTCAAATACTAAAAAAAACTATTTAATAATATAAGAATTTGCAAAATATTGTGAAATTATGTAAAATATATTAAATAATATAAATATATAAAATTTTTTATAAAGACTGGTTGGCTTGAAATATAAAAATATTGTAAGAAAACTACAAAGAATTGTAAAAAATTTTTTTTTTTTTTATATTTTTCACTTTTAATCATTTCAAAACAATTTTAATATTTTTAATTAATCATAATATTAATGTACATATTTTATTAAGAGAGTTGCTATTTTCACCTCCTATTTTTGCTAATGCCACCCTCCAAAATACATAAAAGTGCTCTGGAAGAGTTATTATTATTAAGTAAACCTCTTTTTTGGTATTAATTAAAGTTGTTTATTAGACCTTTCCGGTTCTAATGATTGTAAAATTATTAAAATCAGACCGGTAGTTCTTTTTTAAAAGTAGATTAAAGATTATAAACTTTAGATATAAATATTGCAAGAACCACCGGTCCAAACTTAGTGATTTTACCACCATTAGAACCGGAAAGACCTAATGAACAACTTTAATTAATACCAAAAGGGAGGTTTACTTAATAATAATATCTCTTTTGGAGTACTTTTATGTATTTTGGGGAGTGGCATTAGCAAAAATGGGGGGTGGAAATAGCAATTCTCTTTATTAATTATTAAAATTATTATAATGTATTTAAATTTATTTACATTTTTATAAATAATTTAATATAATTAAAATTTTAATTTTTATTTAATTTGATTTTATATACTTTAATTTTTTTGAAGCTATTTAAATATTCTTATTTAATTATAATATTATTTTGTATTTTTTGATAATTGTTAAAATCATTCTAATATATTAGAATATATTTACATTTTTTTAAAAATATTTAATATAATCAAAATTTTTAACTTTTAATTATTTTAAATTCTTTTATGATTTTTTAAATATTTACATATAATTTTAATTATATTTACTATTTTTAGTGTTTTTAAATTATTTTAAAATAATTTAATCTACTTATAAACAATTAATCATATTTAAAATATTTTTTTCTTATATGCATTCTTGCATTATTTATTGTTTTAAATAAGACATTAATTTTTAATATAATTTTTATACAATCAATTATTTAATACAAATATTTTTATTTTTTTTTTATAATGCCAATTGTAATACTTTATTTAATTAATACCAGATTAATATATTTGAGTTATTATATTCCATTTGTGCTACTATATTACTATATAGACACCCAACGTAACATTATATCTATATTTTTTTAAATTAAAACTAGTACTATAGTGTTTTAACTATTGTTACTAATTAAGGTAAGGTTGTAGCCACCTTGTAATACTATATTCCCTAATTTTATCTAACCATAGTTCTTCTATCTACTTCCTGCAATAACCTATTTCTTCTCTCAAATTAGTTGACTTTAGCAGTTTCTTGCTCTTCTTGCTACCAATTTGGTATACACAGCCCTTCATATATTGGTACTAATCGGCATAGCTAGATTTATCAAGATTCTGAATTATCATCTGCAGCTACTATGTACTCTTTTTTGTATACTTCTATAGTTGTAATATTATTGTACTTCCAATTTTATATTGCAAGAAGGCCTGGAACCTTGACTTATTATATACAAGTATGATAACCATTAACAATATTTTAATGTATGACTATTGTTTTGCTTCTTAAGAGTTTATAGTACTTGCCTAAGATGTTCCAATTTTGGTTAGACCAATTCTTTGTCACAGATCTTCTTTGCATGCACTGCTTTG